GATTGGTCCCACGAGAAGCAGCCAGCCTGCAGGCTTTCTGCTGAGGATGACATTTCCTTCTCCCCACTGCGTCTAGGGAGGCTCATCCAAAGTGCGTGGCCAAGTCCACTTCTCTGGGTCTTGTAAATTCATCCTACCATTAAGTAAGCTACCAGCTTGGACCAAATGAGCAACTCCACAGAGAAGACCCCTTGTGACAATCCCCTTGTGAGAAAGTGATTTTAGAAATCTGTGCTAAGAAAAACTTGGTTTCCACTGAGGAAAGGCATCACGGCATCTCCAGTTACAATGAAATAAGACGGTGTCGCTAGATTCTCTAATCACAAATGAAAACTACTGAGCTACTCATGTTTCTCTTTTTGCTTTGGCTTCTAGGAAATTCATCCACAGCAGTTAGGTTTTTCTTTACGGTTGGCATATTTATAGACTCTTTTTTTCTTAGCCCTGCTTTTCTATTTCTATTTGCGTTGCCTTTTGTCATTGTGTTTTCAGTTGCCTCAATGCCCTGTAGCAATAAGTAATTAGATGCAGAATAATAATTAGAAGCGAAGGGCCTCCTGCCTATTCATCCAGGTGGAGTCTTCTCAAATGGAAAGGGCAGTTGCCGACCCTCTGGGGCACAGCGTGGGAGAGGCCACCAGGTGGCACCAAAGCTTTCCCACAGCCGTCTTTCCTGAGGCAATTTGGCCTGAAAGTGTTTATGTTCAAGCTGTGCCATACACATGGAGTGGCTCCTGTCCAAAACGCGCTGGGGACTGGGCAGAGCTGACCTAAGGGAGCCCATCTGACTTCTTTCAGATGCTCAGCTTATAAGATCAGGATTTCAAATACGGTGAGGCAAGTCCCAACCAGACCAGGCCACTTGGGGGCTGTGCCTTTGTTGTCAGAAGCAGCTTTGTTTTTCTGCACCATCTGAGGCAACTGCAGGCGGGCCCTCATCACAAATAGAGAGTTTAAGGAGAGTGTCACAGGGGCATGGGGGAAGGGCCTTTTTAGCTTCACCAAATATTCTGGTGACTTCTGTCTGAAATGAATATGTTGCTCCTAATAGTGGGCATATAACTGGACAATAGTTTTCACACCCCTAAAATAGAAACTGACTGTTAGAAAGACCCAAGTGTGCTGACATTGCCATTCATGTTTGCCTCTGTTATTCACTCAGATGAACTACGTCATTTGTATCTGGGCCTCTATGCCCTAAATTAGAAAAAGGCCTTCAGTAGAAGTTGGAAGAATGTAATTACATAAAAATCTTTCAATTCATGTTCTTGACCCCTCATGAATCCATTTGTTATAATAATTGTGACAAAAGATGCTTCAATAATCCATTTTTATTCATATTGGTTTCTCCTGTTATTTTCTCAAGCCTCTGCGGTACCCGATAAGTTGTGTTCCCAGAAGATTAAGGAGAAGTAGAATCTTACAAGTCAGGAGACATTTACGTCCAGACCAGCCACATGGAGATGGGTGGCTTGGGCAGAGGGGTGGAAGGGGACTACTCAGCTATTCCCACTGCTCTCCTGAAATTCAGTCCTGGGATCACTGGCCAGAACTGGTCATTGATATTGTTTTGTGGGTTTGGGAAAGAGAAATTCACCATGGTTAGTTTTATTTGCCTTAAGAATGCCTTCCAAGAATTCTGAGTCTACTCAGGCACCTCTTGCCCAATGGACTAGAGAAGTCATTCATCTATGAAAAGCCCAGCAGGGGGATAGGAAACTGTCTGCATTTCTACTGAGTGACTCCGGGCTGAAGACATCAGCCATGAACTCAAATGCCTTCCTGATAAAGGTAAACATTTGGTCTCACCTGGAATGCACTAGACAGTATTGTCCAATAGGCTTCCATGCGACTGTGCCTCTGCTGTTGGCCCCTGGGCTCAAGGCACATCCAGCACTATAACCCATTTTGTGTAGTCACATGTCAGCTGTCCCCCCATCACAAAAGCTTCTTTGGTGGTTTCCCACTTCACGCTTCCACAAGTGACCCAGTTGAGTGGCCCAAGATGATTCTGTAGGGCCCAGTAGGTCAGTTAGGGGCTACCTTGAGAAGTGTTTGATCTTTAAAGCAGATACTAGGTAGTGTTTAGTCTAGGCCTTCGTGGGACCATGAGCAGTAACTCTGGGGAGTCTTATTTGGAAAAGAGACAAATAAGGGGTGGGCCGTGAACTAGACCAGGGTACTTCTTAACACGGCCATTCTGAGACAAGCCCAAGGAGGAGAAACCGGGTTCCATTAAATGACAAAAAACTAGGGCTCAAATTTACATTTCCTACATTACAGAGCCTAATCCAGGAGAGAAATAATTTATGAAGACCTCAATGTTTTAAAATTGGACAAATTTATTGAGCGCCTATAGTATGCCAGCATCTATCATGACAATAATAATCCAGAAGTCAGATCCACCAGTGGATTGAGGAAAATGACCAGAAATGAAAATTTCTGGACAAGGAAAATGACCAGAAATGAAAGCTAGGGCTCTGCCATTCGTGTCTATGTGACTCTTTCTCCACGGAGTGACTGTCATTTCTGACCATAGCACTGGAGGGTAGGGGAAGGTAGGAGAGGAGAGGGCCTGAATATGGTCTGTGGTGGGTTTCTCTTCCTTCACTCTTTGTGTTTTGGGGGCACTTTGCATTTTCTGTTTTCGAATGGTGTTGCTGACATCCTTTGGGGTCATTTTGATTGAACGGACTGTGCTGAGGGTGGGTCACTGAAAAAGGGCGAGACCAGAGAGCATCAGAGTTGGGCTGTAAGGCAATCCTAGCGGTGCATGTGGGCACATTAGTGTACTGATTAAGGATGGTAGCTGATCCACTCATTTACGCCTTACTGACTTTGCTACTCCTGAGCTTGCACCTCCCCCACCCCCATTCCTTGGAGGCTGGGTCAGCCCCTCTAAGTTATTTTTCTCCTCCTCCCTAATGTTAGCACGTTGCTTTTCAACATCGGCTACTGACTGCCACAATTTTAGGCAGGAGGTAGATAGCTAGTGGCTTTCTAGGAATCATCTCTGCAGAAAGAAGCCCCTCACTGCTCTGCTCCCTGCGGTTCTGCAGTCACTGGCATGTCCTGAGCAGCCTACTTTTTTGGCCTCATGCACCACAGCAGGAGAGAGCTAGATTTTTTGTTGCTGACTGGGCCAAGATCTTAAATCGACCTGTCTAGCACAAGGATTGGCAAACTACAACTCTTGGACTAAATCTGGCCCTCCACCTGTTATTGTAAATAAAGTTTTATTGGAACTCAGCCATTCCTACTCATTTACATATTGTCTATGGCTGCTTTCATGCTATAATGGCAGTGTTGAGTAGTTGCAATAAGGCCATTTGGCTGGCAAAGCCTAAGACATTTAATATCTAGCCCTTCCCAGAAAAAGTTTGCTCACTTCTGGTCTAGAATTATGAGACCATATTTTTATTTACTTAAACTGGAGCAGAATAGTATAATTTGGAGTCCTGGAATATCCAAGATGTTTGGGGCAGGATCCAAGACTCTCATTATAAGGATGGCAAATATGAGGCTTAAGCGCTAGTCTGTTGACTGGTAACAAATGCCAGGAGGGCCATGTTGAGAAGGATTCTGAGGCTGTGTCTGGGTTGGTGTGGGCAATCCAAGAGAGGTGGAAATTGGGCCGTGAGTATTATGGCAAAAAGCACCAGATTGGGAAGTGAGCAGGGCAAATCCATGCTCTTCCTCTCCAAAGGTAAACAGCAACCAGGGACAGGTCAGCATCACCCCCGATGGCCTGGCCCCACTTGGCATTGTCAAAGTTGGAACTGTAAACATACTCTTATTGAAGTGAGAGAGATGTGAGATTTAAATACCATTCACACTGTGACAGAAGCAGACAACAGGCAGGAAGGGCCAAGGTCAGGAGAAAGCTCCGGCTTCAATTAAGGTTCCTGTGCACTCATGCAAGGCTAGCAATACAACCGTGTTTGTTCGAGGGACCATTTTGTGTAAAGCCTCCCATTTGGAGAAAAGGGGGCATTTATTAATCTTTACAATTAAAATGCCAGTTAAAATGTTTCAAATTATTTAAAAATGAAAAAGGCAGGGTGACAATGCATATTTACTGGAGAAAGCAGTAAAAATGTGGCTCCTGTCATTCATATAGATTAAACATATACAGCCCTTAGACTGTGGTTTTTAAATGGAAGAATCCTAAGACTATCTACTACTATGTATAAATCCTATTATTCTGTAACTCCAACGAACGATTCTTCCTTAGTGATCCAAATAAATCCAGGTGGAGTGGTCTTCTGTAGCCCTTCACTTGTTACAGTGAATGTGTTTTTGAAAGGTGGAGGCAAATCTAGTTTTTGGAACTCAGATCATATTTTAAATGCACCAAGAGTCTGTTACTCATGCTAAATTCTTATAAAGCCTATTAGCCACTTCAGTGTAAATCCAGATTTTCAGATGTGTGGTATCAAAGCAAGGTAATACTGTAGTCTGTAATATGTTTACAGCTGTCTCATCAAGCTGTCTTTTTTCAATATACGCAGTATTTGGAAATCTCAGGGTCACTGTTCTCTGGGAATGCACATCTATCTGGAGAATCCAGTAAGTTGTATATTTTGTTATTGTGCACTAATCTCTCATACAAGTCACTTAGTATCTTTCCCACATTCAACATTTTGGCTTTGTTTTTCCCTCACAGCATGAAAAACTGCCAAATCAGCTCTGGCTGACTAGGTTTTCTTTTCATTTCAAATAATTGTATGAAGGATTTAAATTGTGTAAGTGCACTCAACCATATCTCAAAGGGAAGTGAGTATTCAGAAAATATATTTTATGACAATTTTGTTGAGAATTTATTTGCATAAAAATGCCAGTGGTTTTCCGCAGAGTCCCTAGAAGTATATTACCTCTCAGGTAAAAGTGGGGGGGGGGGCATGGCAAAGGTGCTAACGATCCCCGTGAAACAGACAATTAGGTTCCAGGCAGACCTGGGAAGCTGGGCTGCGAACATGGGTGGTTCGCAGAGGGGACCCCAGAGGGGCAGTGGGTCCTGAGCTCGTGTGTCTGAAAAACCAGAGCAGAGGGTGATCAGATGTAGAATTCCTCTGTGTCGTCGTCTCCAGGCCCAGCCAGTGCTGGGGGCGCCAGGACGTCTCTGCCGGTCCACTCGCCATTGGGAGCATCACCAGGGAGCTCGGGGGGTGACTCTGTGAGTGAGGTGGCACCAGATGCAGGGGGAACAGCAACTGCTGTGGCCGAGTAGCTGGAAGGCCCTTCTGTGAAGAAAGGGAGGGACGCGTGGGAGGTCTCCGAGGTCCCCACGCTGGGAGCAGGCAGCGGCACTCCTCTGGGACTCTTGTGCTTGGACCAGTGGTTGCTGCAACTTCCAGGAGGGAGGGGCGTTTCCAACGCGCTGCAGAACCTGCTGGGTGCAGAGTACGCAGAGACAACAGACAGGTCCGAGGAGGAGAGCCGCAGGCCCGTGTCCACATCCGTCTCCTGGGCCCCGTCTAAGTCATCAACGGAGAAGAGGTGAGTGTGCCTCCACTCTGATGCACAGTGCCCTGGGGCACTTGTGTTTGAAAACCACTGCGGTACAGCTGAGGAGGCCGGGGAGGGGTCTTCTGTGGGCAAACAGAACAAGGACTTGCTTCTCTGGAAAGACCCACGAAGGCAGGGGGCGCTGCTGACTTGTCTGGCAAATTCCTGTTGGTGCCCAGCAGGCAGGCCTACAGGGCTGGGCCCCACGTGTGGACTGTCCAGCAGGGGCTGCTGGCTGCTGCCAGGTGAACGGCTTGGTGTGGTGGCACTTGGGGAAGGCGTCGAGTGAGGTTCCTGCTCTGAGGAGTGGTGAACTCTGCTGGGTTTAGGAAACTTCCTGTGCATCCTTTGTGCCTATAGGGAGAAGAGGGCATGTCCTGTTAGTCACCTGGGGATGCACACATCATGAAACACATTTCTTCATAACTGGAAACTGCCAGCAATGTCATGGCAATAAGGCATTACTAGAAATTTTATTCTCCAAACTCTAAAGTAAAGACGAGGTAGCAGAGCTTGGGGTGATACTAATCAGGACATAGAGGAGATGCAGCCCGTTGTCACGATAAGAATGACACTTCTTCAAGTACACATGCAAGGAGCTCAACAATTAGCCACAAGAATGAGGGGCCGATAAAGGAGCTAAGAATTACCCATTACATGTAGAAGGAATGCTTGAAGGGTTCCTTCTCTTTACCAAGGCATCACTGTTTGGAAAAGTTATTATTGATGAAAGGATGGAAGTTATCAGGATGGGGTATGCACAGACGATGTCAGATCAGATCAGCATGAGACTTGACTCCAGTACACGTGTGCTCATCAGGACACAGCCTAAGGCTGGCCAATGGTTCAGGGTCGTAAATCTTCAATAAGTGAGGGGCTATCAGATTAGCACATATTTACTTACTATTAGGAACCACTGACGATATCTTTTGACTTTGAGACTGCATAGGAAAGGATTTGCAACTATGACTAAATCCCTTGGATGCCCCACAGGGCATGGACAAGCATGCCTCACCCCTCACATGCCTCACCCTCATCCTCCAGTTCTCCGCACCTCCCCCTGCAGCTCAGTAGGAACCTGTTTCTGTTGCACGGACCTGGGGACCTCTCCTCCACCTAGGTCTGCTTCTCCTAGATTCTTCCCTTGGTCTGGCTCGGAGCTCAAGCCTACAGGGCAACCTTACAATGCACTGTTTCAATCAAATATTGGATTTGGGGATAGCAGGTCTGGCTCTGTTTACAAAAACGGTTCTGACTGCGCTTTACTATAAAGGATATTTCCTGGCACCCAGCAGGCTGAGATGCTGGCTC